TTTACAATATTAAATAAAGGGAACAAAATTTTGGATTTACTGACCATCTATATTTCATGTTTGTGTAACAACTACAATTATTCATTTCAACTTAATATGTTTAAGCTTTAGTTATTCAATTGATCAAGTATATTGAACAGATTTGACTGGTTTTCAATCTACTCAATATTTTTCAGTGTAAAAATGTCAGTTTTAGTTTTTAGAGTGTACAAGAAAACAGCCTTTGAATAGCTGTCCACTCTAGTGTCCACTATGTGTGAAAGGGTCGATATTAATTTGGGGGTAAAATGTAAAACTGCAGCCAGGAGAACACGACGGCGTGGAGCATGAAATAAGCAGGGATGATGTTTTGTATGTCATCCCAGCATCACTGTGGTCCCCTTAACAAAGAGCCACGCTTCTGCATTATCGTGTAACATCAGCTTCACACGAAATAAAAATGTATATGATCATGTCCATGAGGAGAAATAACAGTGAAGTATGAATACACATCGTCAGAAGTAAAACAGCAACATTAGGATCTAAAGTAAATGAGACCATTGAGGTAGAAGTCAGCGTCATCACCACGAAACTTTAGTATTTTGTATCATACGACATTAAATGTCCTCAACGATGTCTGCACTCTCTCTGATCCACTTGTTAGCAAAAGCATATTATATGAGAAAATGTGAAAACATGTAAGAGTTACATTGAATAAAGACATCTAACCGAGAACTCGTTCAGAAAGATCAGCGATTTGAAGATGAGGGAAGCAGAAGCTGAAAAAGCATTTCCAGGTTTTAGGATTTAATGTTCAAAGATAAAGATCCAAACTCCCTGGTTTTCATGTCCCAGCACTAAAGAGCACACACTAAGAATCTTGTTATTGACAGTTATCATTATAAAATAAAACACACTGATGCAGATGACTCTGATAATTCATACAGCGACAGAATGTTTGGCACATCATGGGAAGTCATTTGTGGCAGATTCTTTACTTTCCAGATTAGAGGCGCAGCAGATTCTCCGGGGATTAAGGATGACCTGTGTAATTATTCCAAATCACAGGAGGCACGCAGGTCTCAGCATCCTGTGTGACGAGTGCTTTAGTTAGTGACGACGAGTCTTCGTTCCAGCAGCTACACTTTGTGATTGTAGCTGATTAGACAGCTGGAGTTTTATAGAAATCACTTCCCTGCTGCTTATTTCAAATTCCCTCTGGAAAACAGTCACACTCCCCTTTTGCCTGCTGTTGTCTCCACTCCAGATGTTCGCCTGGGGCAAACAGTGGCACACATCTGGGAGAAGCCCTGACTGCCAAGCCCTGCCCTTTTCCTGCCTGATGTCTCACAACACAAGTCACACATGTGATGTTGCAGTGATGCTGCATGCAGGCTTGTACACACACACACAAACAGCTCACTTACTTATTCCAAGCTTGTCTGAGCTTCTTCGCGCTGTACACTGTAAAGCGGTCTGCAACGAGAGAAAAACAACAATTAAATGTCTGCACTCAGAGCTGCTGCTGGGTTAATGACACACACCTGCTCAAACACCTTCAAACCTTCTACGTTCACGTCTCAGCACATTATGAGACGTAGATGCTGCAATAATTAATTATAAACTACGATTTTTCAAATAGTGGCAGGGCCTCAGCTTACCCTCACAGAGAAGGGCGCCTATTTTCAGATCTTGTGTTAATTGGCTGCTAATCTGCACCCAGCACAGCTCACTGCTGCAGTGTTGCTGTTGTGTTTCTGTCTTTTTCACTTCCATATTTTTATTCTTGGATTCTACTAGAGTAGTTCTGCAAGATTCAAATCAAAATATTAAAAAAGAAATAAACATAGCCTCGTGCTTTTAGTTCCTATTGCTTTGAGGCAGCTCCCTTTTGATTGGCTACCTCTTAGATTTGGACACATAGCAGGGGCTGCTTATCTTTGATGACAAAATTAGACATATCTGCTTTCAATCATGTCCTGTAGAGACACACGTCAAAAGAAACTGCATCATTTGTGGTATAAAAATGGCAGTAAAACATCTCAAAACCTGCAAAAAGATACATTTTGGTAAAGCAAGTACTTTGAATCAGTTAGTGCTGCAGTAACTAGCTTGTCAGACTTGTGAACCACAGTCAAAAGCTTAAATACATTTAGTTTGGGCTGCAGGCAGCTCCTCATCCAGAAATACATTTTTTGGTCCCACATTTTAGAACCAAAGCTAACAGTTTGCCACAGAGGCAAGTTCCTGCATTATACAGTGCAAACACAAATATACATGCAATGTTGTACAAAGCTGGATTGTCACTGTAAGTAATACCTTCAACACTGTGCTCCTCACACTGAGCTGTGCCGCACAGTTCGCTGGATCATTTTAGAGGAATGCCGCCACAATCAATGTAATTAATTCTTTGTCTGGAATCTTAAAAATGTGTGCTGTAGTGAAGGCAAAACAGCTTCATGTTACCACACAAAGTGTTGCTTTGTGTATTCGTTTGCCAAAATGAGGACTGGAAAATGAATGAAATCCTCTTGAGCAATGCAGTGTGAACTATGTGGCTCTGCTGCGAGGCCAAACCACATGAAATTGTCATATTTGCAAGAGGAGTTTGGTGAAGCAGTGTCTCTGTGCTTCTGCAGCTACGATCGCTATGCTGTGAATGTGTGAAGGCTCAGCGCTCTTCTCTTAATTACAGCCAAAACTGCCATGTTGGCGTGCAGTCAGCTACTGTACGAGCTAGCCAGCCACCCAGCGAGCGAGTCCGTCTGGACTCCCACACTGTTGGCCTGATCCAGCATCAGCCTGCAGCTTGCAGTGGGTCCTGTCGCCCAGGCTGGTGTCAGGTGCGCCGGCGTGAGCTGACCAGAGCTCGCTGAGCACCAGGGGAGACGCTCCAGCTATCAGCAGGAGGAGGGGTGGAGCCAGGCTGCGCTGGTAAAACATGTCATCATTTTGGATATTTCGAGCATCCTGGTGCAAATGTTAGTGCTTTCTTTAAAT